ATAATACGTGTGTGTGTGTGTGTGTGTGTGTGTGTGTGTGTGTGTGTGTGTGTGTGTGTATGAGACACAAAGTGGCACCAGTAGCAGCAGCCAAAACAAAGGCAATGCTCTTTGACTGGTGCTCTTGTCCCATGAGTGTCTGCACACACACACTTACATTTACGGACTTAGAATCAAATGACTTGCTGTTACCCCCCAGAGAGTGAGCCATGGTGCTGCTGAAAGCATTACCTGGCTGCTTGTGTTGTTCCATCGTACACACCGACTGCCTTTTACTGTCTGGATGATGGAGGGGGGTGTTTTCCTTCCTCTTGCAGCCCTTTTATTGAGGTTAATGCATTATGACTAACACAGTGCTATTAAGCCTCTCTGTCTCTTGCAATCTCTTTCTCTCTCTCTCCCTTTTATCTGTTTTTCTACCATCGTCTCCTTTTCTTTTTCTACTGAAGCGCCCGCCTCGTTCACAAACGGCACAGTCTTTAGCTCGACCAATTAGTCTCGTCTCTTCCTGTACCTGCATGCTTTTTGTCTTTGGTTTCCCACCGTATTTAAAATGCCAGGCTTTAGTTTCATCAGCAGTTGTGTGATTCATTTTGAATGTGACAGTTGTAATCGAGTAATGTTTTGCTCTTTGCCGGATGCAAGTGTGAGCATGTACAGTAGTGACGCAAAAGAGAATCAGCACCACAGCTGGAACACGTGTTTACCCAAGTCTTTTGAGAACTACTTGCTTCATTAAAACTTTCAACATTCATCTGATCCAAACACTCCCCCCCCCCCCCCTCTGTCTTTACCTCCCTCAGGTCTCCAGAGGGGCTAGATGGCCTACCTCCAGCTCTGCCCCCCAAGCAGCTGAGCAGGAAGACCTTGAGCCAGATCATCCAGGCCCACTCCCAGCAGAGCCTCCTGGACAACCACCTTAACGAGATGTACGATGTCCCTGTCAACGCCGATAAGACCACGGTCAGTATGTCAAAACAAGACTGCAGCATGCTTTGCATATTTAAAAAAATGTATTGATTTCAAAGCATATTTTTTTTTATTCAGGAAGATCATTAGCAATGAAAATGAATTACAACCTAAGCTGCCTTCAATTAAAGAGGTTCTTTATTCTGCAAACAATTTCACAATGTTTTGATGTTTCTTTCTGCCCCCTAGTGGCCAAACGTATTTTTTTGTCGCTTTAAATCTTGATCTTATATTAAAGCTGTGGAGTTGGCATTCCAGTCGAGTGTTAGAGCTGGAGCCAATAGTTCAGTGCCCCAGAGGTGGACGGTGTGGAGGAAAGTAGCATGTGAATTTGATTAATCTGTCTCCAACTTTGCAGCTAAATGGGGTTGTCCCTCATGATAATCTGGTCCTGATCAAGATGAGACCTGACGAACATGGACGTTTTGGCTTCAATGTCAAGGTGAGAGCTGATAGTAGTTAGAAAAAGGTCTGTTCATTGTCCCCCTCTCTTCTTTTGGTCCATCACTTCTTTTTCACTCCAAGTAGTAAAAACCCCTATTACAGATTGTACGTGTGCATTATGACCAATTCCTAAAAAGCTGTTAACCGATGTTGCCTATGTGTGTGTCTGTGTGTGTGTGTGTGTCCAGGGTGGAGCTGACCAGAAGATGCCCATCATTGTGTCTCGAGTGGCTCCCGGAACATCAGTAAGTCAACAGCCACCGCATACTATACTAGCAGTGTGTACCGACTAGGCCAAAATGTAGCGTGCAGTATGCCAAGAATACCCAGATTTCATACTGATTTGGCTCCTCGGCTGGAGCTCTCGTAAACAAGAGGCTGTTAATTCCCTGTTGAGGGAACACAAACAACCATTTTAAAATGAAGGGTGACCTTTGGTATTCTGCCTTTTTGGAAGTGTCGGTTACAGAGCAAATTATTTAGCATTCTCATATCTGAAGACATTTTTCTCCCCTATTAGTAACACTCTATCAAACTAAACAAGTTACAATTCTGCTAATGATGCTATCTCACCATTCTCATCGTCCTCTCCCCCCCCTCTCTCTTCAGGCCGACCTGTGTGTGCCTCGCCTTAACGAGGGCGACCAGGTGGTCTTAATTAACGGACGGGACATCTCTGACCACACACACGACCAGGTGGTCATGTTCATCAAAGCCAGCTGTGAGAGCCATTCCGGAGAGCTCATCCTATTGGTCAGACCAAATGGTGAGTGGTTCCCATTGGTTGGATCTACTGTGTCACTTTTACCTGACTTCAATTTCTATTTTTCTTCCTTCCTTCAATAATGGCTATTTAAACAAGATCAAAAAACAGTGTCGTTCAGACATCAAATGTATTATTTACTTTTGAAATTTTTTTTGCCCCCGAAAGAATAATAATTAAATGATTCAAACTTCCGTTTAGTTGAAGTCCCCTCAGTGTTTATGAAAGGGGAGAATACTGTTGGAACTTGGATTTGTTATCCAGCCATCTGACTGGACCCAATCAAGCTCACGGGGTGGGGGGGGGGGGGGGGTGCCAAACTTTCCAACGGCAGTGTACATCTGGCAGTTACTTGGTGTGAACATTTAGTAACGGCTAATCTCTACATGTGGTGCAACCCATTTTAATGTAGTGATGCATGAATCTCTGCTTGTTAAACGCTTAAGTGATAACCAGGCAAAGTGTAACCGACAGACAGCTGCGGCCCACTCCTTGAAGATTAACAGCTACACATCTGGTCACCAGTCTCGGTTCTTCTTCCGGTCTTTTGCTGCTCAATCTCACTCTTGTTATTTTTAAAGGAGATGTGTGAAATCACATCTCAGCCTTATATATTCACCGTATAGAAAAGATGGCAAATCATTTCCTTTAATCGGCATCAGTGAAGCAGCAGCAGAGCTTTTAAAGATGAGGGCAATTCTTGGTATTTTAACTGGGTCAAAGAGGATTTTATGGATTCTATCCATGTATTAAATTCCTGTCAATTCACATTTTTTTTTTATCTGTTTTTCTTAAATGTAGGCATATGGATATTTGCCGATAGACGAACTATATGTTCCTATCGTGCAGTGCTTTGGTTGAGACTTGAAGCGTTTCTCTATCTTGCATGTTTTCTTTCTTCATTATGTACTTAAAGGTAAATGAACTCCTCCGGGCCTCAACCTACATAAACAGCTGTGTGTGTGTGTATATAAACTGTGACATGTTTCCTCTCTGTCCCGCTCAGCCATCTATGACGTAGTGGAGGAGAAGGTGGACTCGGAGCCAGATTTTCAGTATATCCCTGAGAAGTCCCTTCAGGACCCCACCCAGCTAGACCAGCATGCTTTGAGGGACTCCATGGTCACATTGAAGGAAGGCCTGATCAGTGGAGCCATTCTCGCTCAGTTTGACGTAAGGAGAAAGTATTAAAACATAAACACACATAAATAGATACTGTGCATATATGCTTACACAGAGACAAGCTTGGGAAATAGTTTGAAGCGTTTGTCACATGTTTCTTTCCTCCTTCACATCCCCGTAGCTTCCTGTCCTTTGTCATAATCCCTTAACAGCTTCCTGTTTAAGCCCTGTGTTGTGCTTTTACTGAAGAGGAATGTTAGATGCAAAACGAACCCAAAGATAATGTACGCAAGTTGCTCATGCACACAAAAGTCATAGAAGTTTGTGCATATTTACATACACGAGCGGTGCAAACGAATATTTGGAGGTTGCTACGTTAATATAGATTTGTGTTCCTTTTCTTACAGCAACTGTACAGGAAGAGGCCCGGGATGACCATGCTGTGTGCCAAATTACCTCAGAACGTTTCCAAAAATCGCTACAGAGACATCTCTCCTTGTACGTGACTGCACACGGTCGTCTATATCTGTCGGCTCGTGTCTTTACATATGAACTGACATTGTTCATTCCCTGATACGCTCTCTCTTCTCCATGTTTCTCCCTCCTGAAATCTTTTACTTCAACGTTTGTCAATTGTTTGTCTGTCTGTAATCTCACCTCCTTTTCTCCCCCTCTGCAGATGATGCCACGCGGGTCATTCTGAAAAGCACAGATGACTACATCAATGCAAACTACATCAATGTGAGTTAGTTTCTCTCGTATCTCTCCATCCCTATCTCTGCGTTTTGCTTGTCTGACACGTGGTGGGTGGTCTGCTTGGCTAACCATCAAAACACATGTTGAAACACTACGGTTACAATGCTGGTGAATGAATTAACCACATGAGCTTTACAAGCCAATAACATTGTGAGTTCCTGTTTTGCACGTTTTTTTTTTTTTAAGTCGGCCATTTAAGCTATCAGCAGCTCATGGATGTTATTGATTTAAGCCCCTTTCAGATATATCTTTAGGTTATGCATGTTTGGAAGTCAATCTTGGGCCTTTGTCACATAAATGTCCTGCTATGACTGTACTGAACATGATACAACCTTTACAGATATAACAGCACAGCAAACAGGAATGAGTTGGAAAGTAAAGATACGGCAGAAGAAGTGTTCTCAGTTTGTTTTCAAACTGTTTTCAGTTGAATGAAGTTAAAACCAGACACGCTTGTTATTTACCTATCCGTTTATTGAAACTTCTGTCACTATAATGTCACAAGGTCTGACCTTGTAAGTGACTCAGCGGCTTATTCAAACAGAAGACCAAACGCTGCTAGCTTGCCAGCACGTCAAAGTATTGAAGAGCACATCTTAATTTATTTTTTTGGGGCCAAAGTTAAAGTGGTGCTACCTTTTTTTTAAAGCATAACCTGAGAACATTTAGCTCTCTGCACTGCTGAAAACGAGCTCTAAAGGGAAATCCTTGCAACCGAATATCTCTGCGTCTCTGTCTGTAGATGGAGATTCCAGCCTCGAGTCTTATAAACCGCTACATAGCGTGCCAAGGCCCGCTGCCCAACACCTGCCCCGACTTCTGGCAAATGACATGGGAGCAGGGCTCGTCTATGGTGGTCATGCTGACTACGCAGGTCGAGAGAGGACGGGTATGTAGAGGAATTCTTCAAAGACGAGGACTGGAGACCACATATGGACTGCAGCATGTTGGAAAAAACATAGGTTTTTGCTGTCAGTGAGTCCAATTGGGAAAAAAACAAAATCTCAAACCTTTTACTGTACGTGTGGCATTGCTTTGAATCCTGCTTACCAAGTTTCCCATTTGTAGATGAAATACTTATTGTTTTAATTCTTCTGTCAAAATATTTCATCATTTACAACACACTGCTTTCGGGTAAATTGTGTCTTTTGTTCATTAAAAATGTGTTACTGTGGAAAAGAAAAAGAACCAAAATTCATGAATCATCAAACTAAGTGGCAATTTTAAAACATGCATCGTTTGCTAATTTCTCTTGACATTAAAAAGAAGTGTTTAGTTGCAAAAGGAAAGGTCTGTGACGGGACATTTTAAGATCACGATCTATACACACCACTGGAGGTTTTTAGTGATTCCATATGTATTGAATGTCTATGCCATATGTTGGTGTATTAAACAGAACAGTGAAGATGGATAGCCCAAGTGAGTTGCTCTTCTGTAGCAGAGCATGACCTGTAGTGACATGTTAAGTATAGTAACTGTTCAGTTGTAAACCGAATACTTCTGTCTGTGTTCATAGGTGAAGTGTCACCAGTACTGGCCCAATCCAGACAGCAGCGCCACCTACGGAGACTTTACAGTAACGTGCCACAACGAAGAAGGCAACACTGCCTTCCTGGTCCGGGAGATGACTCTCACGCACACACAGGTAAACATAAACACACACACACACACACACACACACACACACACACACACACACACAGGTAAACATAAACACACACACACACACACACA